CATCGGGTCACGATGACACAGGACCAGGTCAAACATTGTCGCCATCAGAACCTCCATATTGTGTCTGTTGTCTGTTTACAAAACTGGGAAGATGGTCAACACGGGCGGCTCACACGTGTGTGAGTGTGTGTGTGTGTGTGTGTGGGAGGGGGGGGGGGGGGGGGGGGGGGGGGTCTGCCTATGGTCAGAAGATCGCGTCTGTGGCGGTGGTTGCATGACTGTGAAGACAGAGCCAGGTCACACATTGTATTTATCATATCTTTAATAATGGGCGGCTCTCAGGCAGTCTTAAAATAGTTATGGCCTACTCCGGTGTTTGGCTTGGATAATGTGTCGAGATTAGATACTTTTTCAGTTACAGCTACAAAACCCGACATTTCTTAATTTAAAACAATGAGCCTGATTTAAAAAAGAAAGAAAAGGAAAACACCCTGCAACAATGTCATTTTGTGGCAATATCTTTTTTTTTTCAAAAGTGTGAAGCAAAATTATATTATTCAAGGATTTTCGGGGACAGTTCCCCCCAGAAACAAGCTTCGTGTTCTGTTACACACTGACACTCAGTCGGGATACTTCGGAAGAATAGGACCCCAGTGCATGGTGCTTTTCAACTAATAAAGGCTCGGCTTATTAGGATGTGGGAGCTGGCTGACTGTGTGTCATGGTGCCCTTGGCGTGGATCGTTGGGCAGGTCTGGACCAGATTCGATTACCTACCTGCCGCCGTTCAGTTGGATTATTGACTACTGTAAATAAAACCAGAGCTGCCCCGAGTCCAATACTTACAGCCGTCGTGGTATACCTGCAATAGTGCCGGCTGCGGAAAACAACATTCACTAACCCTCCGTTATACAGAATCCGGATAGTCCTCGGTGACTGAATTGTGTAATAACATGTCACGCTTCACCGCGTTGGGTACATGATACGTTGATCACTCGTTCAGTAATAGTTATACAAGGCGTAGCACATGGAGACCGCACACATGGCGGTAAGGTCACGATTGTTTAAAGATAACGGTGCCTGCACACGGCGCTGTAAATATTTGAAATATGAATTGTAAGGAATAAATAATAATTAAGTTAGTATAAACGGGTGCTCACCTTTGCAGCTTAAACATATTTTACGGTGTGGATTTAATACTGGGTACTGACACGAGGTTGATCATTCTGAATCGATACAAATGCTCGTTCAAAGATGTCTGTATAGTCGATACGTCACTTAGACGAGGCAACTTGGTCCCGGTAGAAATACACTTTATTCGTCACTATAAGTAATTTCATTTGTTAGATAATTACATCATCTATCATGATTGAGTGTGAGTTTTGTTTAACGCCGCTTTGAACAGTATTGCAGTTATTTCACGGCGTGTGAGCTTCATGTAGGAGGAAAGGCCGAAGTGAAGCAGGTCTCAGACAAAACCAGAAAAGTAATCGGGTCGAACCGGGATTCGACGCCAGTCATAGGTTTCTGGCGTGCCCAAGGGACGTAACTCTGCACAGCGAATTGCGGCGCCTAAGACAATTGTGCCCCCGGTTCGATTGAACAATTCGAAATATATACAGCTTTTTCAGAATAACTAAAAACTCAAAGTTTGGACATAATTATGGCCCTGTCACACTACAATCATAGCATTAACGTATATGGCGACATATGGAAATTTTGCCAAAACGCCGGCAACGCTGAAACACGCTATGGATAAGTTAGGTGTAAGTTGTATACGTTAAAAGCACGCTGGTATATGCCGTTGCTTCAAAACATTTATGCATGCACAAAATTTTCGGCGTATGGGAACGTATGAAGGTTTGAATTATACGTTAGGCATACGTTAGAGTTACGCTATACCTACGTTTACCTTCGCCAGATAAACGTTACCCATACGGCCCGATTTAGGCACCTTTACCCTACGCTTACTACACTAAAACATTGACATATCATAAATATATAATTATTTTGATTCCGCCTGTTACACAACATCTACCCTGGTGATATTACAGTCAATCTCAATGACTCCTCTACATGTGTAAGGTATCGAGAACTCACCCCTAAAGGAACAGGGCACATGTTTTGTTTGTTGTTTAACGTCGCAATCAGCAATTTACCAGCCACATTATGGCGGCCTGCAAATGACGGTGTCTGGACCACACAATCCAATGACTGATATTGTGAACAGCGTTATCCCCGCCGTCGGGGTACAATGAAAAACTATCAAGCAAGTCACTGAACATGACCGTCCGATCCTATTGGAGCATCGGTTACAAGGGACCTATTCTAATCCGGAATCCCACGGGGTAGGACACATGTGAGGCAATACACTTATACCGCTTCAGGGCCGCAATTACTGACTTACTGGACCTGAATATGAATATATATCGTCTATGCATATTGCACCTGCTCGTACCAACAAGCCAGTTGCCAGGCTGCACAGGACGCCAGATGGTAGACGACAAACATCACAGATCTCACAATAAGAACTTTAAAGTCTAAACATGTATTCTGGCGCCCATGGAAATAAAGAATCACAGGGATATTATTATTGATGCACCATGTTAACAAACCTGTATGGCGACGGAGTGTATTGACTGTAGTAGGCATATACACACAGGCAAGGATGTCGGTGTCAGTGTAACCATTGATCCCAGTATTGACTGAAGCCTTGAATAAAAGTGCTGTTCTTGCAATAAAAAAACCTGCTATTACAATTTGTTTGTTAATATAGCCCTAAAAGTCAGACCTAGGACCAGTTAGAAGATTTTAACAGTGGAATCCGGTTCCGAACACCAGCCGGGTGGGACTTGAGGGTGGGAACAGGTCCCGGATACTCCATGACTGTCCTAAGACAAACTGAAATGAGGATCGGTTGGCTGCATTGTGTGGCAAATCCGAGCTACGAAGATCCTCGCTCATGCTATCAATGGGTGAGTGAGTTGGATTTAACGTCGCTTTTAACATAATGCAGTTATATAACGGCGTGTCAGTTTAATGTGGGAGGAACGCCCGATGTGATTGATGTCTCAGACGTTTACCACTTCGTTGAAAACCCACGAGCACGGGTATGCGCTGACAAACCTAGAAACATAATCGGGATGAACCGGGATTCGAACCCACAATCATAGGTTTCTGGCGTGCCCAAGAGACGCGACTCTGCACAGCGAATCGCGGCGCCTTAGAAAACTGGGCCACCCGTACCCCCTCATGCTATCAACCATGCATGTACTGGTTGGCCTCGACAACACCTCGTTTATTTACAGGTCGCCGTTGTACCTTGCACATACCTGACTGGCTGTAAAAGCCCCTCATTCACTTCACGGGGCGGTGGGGTAGCCTAGTGGTTAAAGCGTTTGCTCGTCACGCCGAAGGCCCGGGTTCGTTCCCCCCATGTGTTCAGTGTGTGGAGCTCATTTATGGTGTCCCCCGCCGTGATGTTGCTGGAATATTGCTAACCATACTCACTCACTCATTCACTTCTCACAGCAATATGACGCTGTTCACCTGCTGTTTTGTTGGTTATTGCTCACGTTGGATAAATCACAGACGTGTCAGAGCAGAAGAAAATCCAGCCCATGTCACAGAAGAAAGACTAAATCGCAAAAGAAGGCTGTTTCAAACTAATTTGAACTATTTACTATTTATTCACGTTACCTGTTTAGCTCGGATGAAAGTACATACAGTCCGATTAAGCATATGCATGTACTTAAAATAGCCATATATATTTGAGTTGATAACAAGCACAGAAAAACACATTTAAAGTTTTTACCTGAGCAAAAGAAATTAAGGATAGATATTTGATTACAATAGAGCTAGTGACTCTTTATGACCGACATAGATGATGTATTTTTATAGGGCTGCATTACATCTCCAGGTCTTCGTGTCGTTTACAACTGTAACATACCTAGAATGGGTGGTGGCACCTGAACATTTGGTCATTTTCTATTGCGTAGAATACCAAAGTATCATTTGTATGTGTTGTCTCTTATTTCTATTTAAGGCTTTGCAATGCCCAATCCTGTTTGCCTCATATTCGAATGGATAGCAAGCGCACAAACATTGACAGGTTTACCATTTACCGAGACAAAGAAAGCATATACGTCAACCGACCTGGCTAGATGGTGTTTACTGCTTAAGTTCAGTCTTACTGAGACCCTAGGCCTTCGCGTCACGTAAAACTGTAATATGACTAGGATGGACGGCGGCACAAGATGATTTGGTAGTTTTCTTTTGTGTCCAATAACGAAGTATTGTTTTGTCAATTATTTGTATTTAGGGGCTTTCAAATCTCATTCCAGATTTCCTCAAACGTTTCGTTGGATTGCAAAAATAATTTTCTTTCTTTGGACGAGAAGCTTTGATCAAATCAAATCGTAAGGTCAACGACGAGTCAAGTTTGTTATAGAAAATAACAATAACATGGAGATGTGTAAACTTTGAAGTAACTTGTCAACTCACGTTCGTTAAAGCGTGGTACAATTTGGTCTTCCAGATGTTTCATCAAAGGGTTACTGAAGGTAATGGATTATTGGTAATTTCCTAAATGTATTGTAAATAACGCCGCGAGGACTGCACTTCTGGAAAAGTATAAAATAATATGTATTGAAATAAAAGACAACTGGAACTTTCATCACAGCCATTGAAGCGGAACCGACTATAGCGATATAATGAAACAGATCGATTGTCATCACATCCACAAGACATAACTTACAACTTGGTAACTGACAAAATTTAAATAGATCCAACTTTAATAGAACGCTGTTACTGCTCTTTACAAAGCTCTAGTTTATTTGCAAAAGGGAATATTGACTGGTTGTTGGTAGCAACGTAACGTCGAAAACGTGTGATTGAAACCATGTACACGACAGGTTTAGATGTCCGGGGAACATGCGTATATAACTGCATCGATATTCCACAGACAGTGATCAACAAATATACATGTTCCACTTGCATCGTGGGGATGACGAGCCCTCACCGTGGAGGGTTATTGTGTATCCCATCTGTTGCCGGGATGCACAGCTTGTCAACATGATGACAAGTTTATAAGTATCGGAGACAGGCAGACCCTGCCACTGTGGCTCACGTTCAGACAACTTTAAGGTTCGAGTGAGACGCTGGTTCTGTTGTATTCAGATCACCCTTGGTATCAGCTATGGTGAGTAAACTTGTATGAGGATCGAACTCGGAATAAGTCAGTAAATATACATGTATACACAATCATGCCCACCTTTTTAATTGTACTTTAACAAATGATGTGTACAATCAGGGATACTATAGATGCATTATTTTCGCATAGTCTTTCTGGTATAATCAATCAAATGTTAACTGAAATTCGTTACTTGTCAGCATCAGAAGTGTCTATTAAGTTCCATTGTGTGCGTCCCAAGGCCAGATGGGTCACATCAAGTAAAATGACGGAGGCTGGACATTTTCAAATATCATCATCAGCTGATTTAATATGTAAATTTGTTTATGAGAATGTTTGCACGTTATTTCCCTCCAAAGGGATTTTCCGAAATCCACTTTAACCTTTCCTGCTGGCGTAATTACTGTGCTAGTTTCCAAATATCAGTCTCGCTTTTTTTGGAATGAAGGTATATGTGATTAAAAAATGTTTTTGGACAATGTTTAACTCATATTGTTTAATAAATGTACTCCTGTTGAGTTAAGATTGTTATTAGATTCATCTTCAAGCCGATAATTATACTGTGCGTATTCGGTGTGGTCATTAAGAAGCGTATTCGGTGTGGTCATTTAGAAGCGTATTCGGTGTGGTCATTAAGAAGCGTATTTGGTTGGTCATTTAGAAGCGTTTTCAGTGTGGTCATTAAGAAGCGTATTCAGTGTGGTCAATACGAGGCGTATTCGTTGTGGTCATTAAGAAGCGTATTTGGTGTGGTCATTAAGAAACGTTTTCAGTGTGGTCATTAAGAAGCGTATTTGGTGTGGTCATTAAGAAACGTTTTCAGTGTGGTCATTAAGAAGCGTATTCGGTGTGGTCATTTTAGAAGCGTATTCAGTGTGGTCATTAAGAAGCGTATTTGGTGCGGTCATTAAGACATGTTTTCAGTGTGGTCATTAAGAAGCGTGTTCGGTGTGGTCATTAAGAAGCGTATTCGGTGTGGTCATTAAGAAGCGTATTCGGTGTGATCATTAAGAAGCGTATTCGGTGTGGTCAATACGAGGCGTATTCGTTGTGGTCATTAAGAAGCGTATTTGGTGTGGTCATTAAGAAACGTTTTCAGTGTGGTCATTAAGAAGCGTATTTGGTGTGGTCATTAAGAAACGTTTTCAGTGTGGTCATTAAGAAGCGAATTCGGTGTGGTCATTTTAGAAGCGTATTCAGTGTGGTCATTAAGAAGCGTATTTGGTGCGGTCATTAAGACATGTTTTCAGTGTTGTCATTAAGAAGCGTGTTCGGTGTGGTCATTAAGAAGCGTATTCGGTGTGGTCATTAAGAAGCGTATTCGGTGTGATCATTAAGAAGCGTATTCGGTGTGGTCAATACGAGGCGTATTCTGTGTGGTCATTAAGACCTGTGTACGGTCCAAGTTCCTGGTAATTCTCTGACTGCCACATCTGTGAGAACATTGATTTACAAAATGACTCATGTTTGGGATATTAGATACGCCTGTCAGCAATAGCCATGATATTTGATACGAAATTGTAGTTTGAAAGAATAGATACATTATGTACCGACTGACCGAATTGTATGACTGATCCAATACAATGGGCCGTGGGATCTCAAACCGAGACATTGTTTATTTGATGTTTAAAGCCGCACTCAGCAACATTCCAGCTATATGACGACGGTCTGTAAATAATCGTGTCTGGACCAGACAATCCAGTGATCGACACCATGAGCATACATCAACGAAATTGGGATACGATGACATGCATCAACCAAGTCAGCGAGCCTGACCACCCGATCCCGTTAGTCGCTTCTTACGACGAGCATAATCGCCTTTTATGAGTACGAAGATAAATTCAGGATGTATCTGGTATTCTAACCAACGACAATGCGAATGTCCAGCTATTGGTATTGTGTGTCTGTATTGTTGAATGGTGTTGTTCTCCGTCAGAGGGAAGTCCTATCAGTCCACGTGGGACAAGCCGGATGCCAGATGGGCAATGCATGCTGGGAGCTGTACTGTTTGGAGCACGGTATCCAGCCCGACGGTCAGATGCCTTCTGACAAGACTCTCGGGCATGGGGACGACTCCTTCAACACCTTCTTCAGCGAGACCGGCGCTGGGAAGCATGTTCCGAGGGCCGTGTTCGTGGACCTTGAGCCAACTGTTGTAGGTTAGTCATTCTCGTAAAAAATATCAGTGACAGAATTATGCCATGAACAAGTGTCGTTATTTACCTTTACATTGCGCAGGTGGTTTATTGATGTCTTGTAATTTCAGACGAGATCCGTACTGGCACCTACCGACAGCTGTTCCATCCCCAGCAGCTGATCACCGGCAAGGAGGACGCCGCCAACAACTACGCCCGTGGCCACTACACCATCGGAAAAGAAATGATTGACCTGACCATCGACCGGATCCGGAAGCTGGCAGATCAGTGTTCCGGTCTCCAGGGGTTCCTTGTGTTCCACAGCTTTGGGGGTGGCACAGGGTCTGGATTCACCTCCCTGCTCTTCGAGCGGCTTAGTATAGAGTATGGGAAAAAGTCCAAGCTTGGGTTCTGTATATACCCAGCCCCACAGATATCAACAGCTGTGGTCGAGCCCTATAACTCTATCTTGACCACTCATACGAGTCTAGAACACACAGACGTGTCTTTCATGGTCGACAACGAAGCCATCTATGACATCTGTCGCCGTAACCTTGACATTGGAAGGCCAACCTACACCAACCTGAACCGTCTGATTGGTCAGATTGTCAGCTCCATCACCGCCTCGCTCCGGTTCGATGGCGCCCTGAACGTGGATCTGACGGAGTTCCAAACCAACCTGGTGCCTTACCCAAGAGTGCATTTCCCTCTGGCGAACCTTGCCCCCGTTATCTCCGCTGAGAAGGCCTACCATGAGCAACTGACCGTGGCTGAAATCACCAATGCTTGTTTCGAGCCCGCTAACCAGATGGTCAAGTGTGACCCCCGTCACGGCAAGTACATGGCTTGCTGTCTCCTATACCGAGGTGATGTTGTCCCTAAAGACATCAACGCCGCTATCGCTGCCATCAAGACCAAGAGAACCATCCAGTTCGTCGACTGGTGCCCGACTGGGTTCAAGGTCGGCATCAACTACCAACCACCAACTGTTGTCCCCGGCGGTGACCTGGCGAAGGTCCAGAGAGCTGTCTGCATGTTGGCAAACACCACGGCCATCGCTGAGGCCTGGGCTCGTCTTGACCACAAGTTCGACCTGATGTACGCCAAGCGTGCCTTCGTCCACTGGTACGTGGGTGAGGGTATGGAGGAGGGAGAGTTCTCCGAGGCCCGTGAGGACTTGGCTGCCCTGGAGAAGGACTACGAGGAGGTTGGGACCAGCACCACGGACGATGATCTGGAGGAAGGAGAAGAGTACTAACGCCAGATTACCCAGCCCCGCGCTTTTGCATTGCTCGTTACCATGGTTACTAACTACGTCACTTTGAGTTTTATCGAAACCTTATCACGGTGATATTGTGATTGCGAGAAGATTTGAATAAACTCACCGGAGAGTTTTTGAAAATAGAAATTTCAGCATAACGCAAAGTAGTGTTCGTGGTGCGTTCTGAAAGACTGTGACCCCTTGACATTTTTAAAATATCATTCTTTAAGAATAAGAGGTAAGGACCAAATCACATATTCGTTGTAATTTGTGAGTCACATATTCGTTATAGTTTGTAAGTCACATATACGTTGTAGTTTGTGGCAGTTTAGTTCTTTAAGTGCGGTGGTAGAGGTAGCCTGTGCGGGAGTAGGGGTGGTCTGTGCAGGGGTAGGGGTGGTCTGTGCAGAGTTATGGCCCTTAGTTGTGTCAGAATCTGATGGTCATGAATTCGAATTCAGGATTCACCCTGACCATTATCCTTGGTTTGTATGCACCAAAGTGTTTAAGGCGGTGTTAAACCCAACTTACTCCCATATCGAGACAATCACAGGCACAGCCAAAAAAATGTTGTTGATAACTTGGCAGGGTCTGGTCAGGTATCTCCACCCCGAGTAGAAAATCGGAACCCATATCGTCATTATATGTAAATGACTAGCTACTTTGAAACAGGTCTTAACACAATCTGACAGGATTGAGTGGCAACTAGGCCTACCGATGCTGTATCGTCAGTAAATGACGTAGAACAACGAAAGGGACCCTTTTATAACCAAGAAGGGTATCACGAATGAAACAATAGAAGGAACTCTCTTAAAGCTCGAGAAATAATCCATTATAATTAAAAACCAGATCTTAGCTACCGCTCAACAAAGATCCGAGGACATCCAATTACGGCTCACGACAGAGCGGCCGTTCATCCGACCAGAGCGTCGCTTTCCAGATCAGTAAAGTGACAGTAGGAATGTGTTTTCTGATCTCTAAAGATTTAACACGGGGTATTCCGAACGACAGTTACGGGCGTTACGACTGAATCCATACATTCGAGGCGATCTATTGCAAATCCAGAATGTTCGTTTGTTAAGTTTTCACATTTTTAATCGAGAATTTGTCAAACAAAATGTTTTGAAGCGTAGTCGCCAGTTTGAAACTAGGGCCGTAAAGCACGAGAAAGTTGCCTTCTGATTGGCTAATGTCGACTTCTTGTCAGTCATTCCATTGGTCGGTCAAACTTTGCGAAAGGTCGTTCTGACGTGACCAGTAATGGGATGTCCTCAGATCTTTGTTCAGTGGCAACGAGAACTAAGATCTGATTATAATGAGATTGGAAAATATCAAGAGGTCGCGGTTGCGAAAACGTGATACAGCATATAAACTACACTTCCTTACTGTATATTCAGGATGAGTTTTATTTGGCGAAATGTAAAATATCTAAACCACACCAGGATGTATAAAGAAAAAGCACATTTGGGTGTGTACCTAAGCCCCTTTTCCAAGAAGAAAGAAATGAATCATTCAGGGGTATATCCGTGATATGTTGTTCGTGATAAGTCACGTGATGTGATTGGCCTCGTTTTGGAACAGGTCTGCTGTTTTCCCCTACGTGACGACCGCCCTGCTGTGTTTATGTATGGTGTACTGTATACAAAATTGATGTCAACTTTCAAAAATTAATAATAATATTAAGCTGATAATAAAATGATCGTTTATTAAGATGGAGATCAGGGGTCACACACGGGAGTGAAGGGCGGAAGGTTTGATGAGGAAACAAAGGACGGTGTACGGCAAGAAAACAGGAACTCGTTATTGGTCAGTAAATACAAATAGTGAGTGAGTGAGTATGGTTTTACGCCGCTTTTAGCAATATTCCAGCAATATCACGGCGGGGGACACCAGAAATGGGCTTCACACATTGTACCCATGTCGGGAATCGAACCCGGGTCTTCGGCGTGACGAGCGAACGCTTTAACCACTAGACTACCCGACCGCCCCAGTAAATACAAATAGAATCCCCTATATGCTCTCTACTTACATATAGGGGGTATATATTTTTATTTACTGACCAATAACGAGTTCTTGTGGACAAGAGCCTGTCTAGATCTGTGAAAATTCAAGAAATCGGGTACACTTTTAGGAATCATTACGAAGGTATGGAGAATTCAATTTAACACTTGCACCTTTCGGACTTATGACCACACAAAGAATTACGCTCATGTGTCATATAGTGTGACTTCAGAGATTCCCAGCAATACGTTTTTCTAATATTTGAGTATGATCAAGTCTTTGTAACCTACGCTGATTTACATCGATGCAAGCAAATGGTGAAAAATATTTGGCCATCGACTTACTTCGTAGATTTCTCTTGAAGTTCGGAAACAATGCCTTATTCGGAAACAATGCCTTATTTCATTTATGCCCTACATCAGTACTTGACCATGTCATAAGTCTATAGCAAAAGGATACTTGTTATCATTAACATGGTCAATGAATTTCCGATCAATATTAAGCTGTCCGCAACTTTATAAGTTGTGTTTTGTTGTTAAGTGGGCCAAAGACGTATACAGTAAAGTACGGTTATAACGAACTCAAAGGGACTACTAATTTTAGTTCGTTATAACCGTAGTTCGTTATAAGCATATATACAGCATAACTACAGCAACTAGTCGGGACCAAAAATTAAGTTCGTTATATCCGTAAGTTCGTTATAAGCGTGTTCGTTATAACCGTAGTTTACTGTATATGTTTCCTGTCACTTGTATACCGGCTTATATTCTGAACCATCACACCCATGTAGTTAATTAACTCAGATGTCAGTACAGATTGGCTGAGGGCCTGTGGGACTGACTGAATGAGCAATATAACAAGGTATTGGTGAACCCTTTTGCCTTGTACCCGCTTAAAGGGACACTATAACTCCCCGACCACTTTAAGATCAAATATGACTATCGAATAGGGGACAAAACCTTGGTCTAACCTGGGCAATGATTCGTGCTCAGATCGGTCCAGTATAACACAGCAGGTGCTATCAGTACCTAGGCCAGGAGGCACTCGACCATGGTGTTTGTGAAGGTTTACTCTAAGCAATGGTACCGTGCAAGGAACCGTTAGCTCTAAACATGAGACACCCGGTGGTCTCAATCTCTAGTTCAGGGGCACTTGACCTGGTGTTTCTTGTACTAAACCTGGTGTTCTGAGATTCTCGACCTGGTGTTCTGAGATTCTACCTTGTGTTCTGAGATTCTACCTTGTGTTCTGAGACACTCGGACAGGTGTTCTGAGATTCTACCTTGTGTTCTGAGACACTCGACCAGGTGGTCTGATATTCTACCTGCACGTTGAACGTGATGGTGGACAAGATCTAGCCTAGATCCGGCACCAGTTGTAGGAGAAACAAGTCCTTAATCGTTGTTGAGAAATAATAAAGAAGTTCACATCCGTGCACTAGCCTTTACATCTGTACTTGTACATCACGCTGACAGCTGCAAGTGGAAAGATGAAGGCCTGGGTCCCGTTCCGCAGGGCTTTACAAGCAATACGGCTCACGCCTATATAGCGTTAGGTCCGACACTCGAGATCACAGATAACTTTTTCAACTGGCTTCTGGATTTCTCTTACCAGGTGTACTCAATACTGCTCTGATGTCCAAACGCGACTAAGCGCCTTTGAAATAAATATTCCACACAAACATTTTGTTGGAAGTGTTATTTATGTCACGAGTAGCTGGAACAATGGGATACTGTATTGCCGAACCTCCTTACGGATTCAATTCTCAACATGGGGACAAAATGTTTTCCCAGAAAACACTCATTCATTCGTGACTAATGGTGGGCGTATAACCAGTGAACAATGTGGGCATGCATGGATACCTCTACATTGCTGGTAAAATACATAAAACCCTGTGGCGTTGTGGTAAACAGTATGGGATATAGCAGATAAATGACAGTCAATGTAGGTTTTCTTTTTGAAAAACATACCATTCTACAAAATATACGCCCCCTCTCTCCTGTGTGTGTGTGTGTGTGTGTGTGCGCGCGCGCCTGCGCGTGCGTGTGTGTGTGTGACAACAAGTTGTATCTTTCTTTTAACATGTTTTGGTATGAGGCGGATCGGGATCAACCCAGCAACCTTCGGCTCCGAAGGCAGATGCTCTATCCACTGGACCACCACACGCACGCACGCACGCACGCACGCACGCACGCACGCACGCACGCACGCACGCACGCACGCACGCACGTGATTTCATAAAAAAACACAAACATGCCAAAATATCAATTTAAAAATCAATAGCGTGTGTGTCCATCTCTGGTTGCGATGAAAGCAACACATCTTCATCTCATGGAATGGACCAGGCGTCGCACAAAGTCCTGTGGGATATCTGTCCATATCTGCTGGAGCATGTTTCGAAGTTCCTGGAGTGTCTGTGGAACACGTGGTTGACGTCGAAGGCGCCGATCCATCTCATCCCACATGTGCTCGATTGGTGAGAGATCAGGGGGAGCGAGCCGGCCAGGGGGTGACATTCACGTTGTTTTGTTGAAGAGAATCCTGAACAAGTCGAGCAATATGAGGCCGGGCGTTGTCATGTTGAAAGGTAATGCCTGGGCCATGACGACGCAAAAACGGTAGAACAACAGGGCCGATGATCTCGTTGCGGTAGCGCTGTCCATTGAGATTTCCCTCAACCACTATCGAACGGGTCCTCTGTCTTGCTGTAATCCCACCCCATACCACAACGCTGCCGCCACCGAACCGATCTTCATGACACAATGATTGACGTAACGTTCACCTCGACGTCGGTACACTCGAATCCGTCCATCGCTGTGGCTGAGGTGAAAACGAGATTCGTCAGTGAATAGAACTTGTCCCCACTGATGGCCATCCAGCGTGGACGCTCTCTGCACCACTGTAGACGTGCTTGACGGTGGTTTCCTGTCAAAATGGGACGTCTGGCGGGTCTTCTGGCGACAATCCCTGCACATCTGAGGCGAAGACGTACGGTTTGTGAAAATATTCTTCGAATGCCAGGGATGCTTCTTGCAGTCACTGTTGCTGGCTGGAATCGATTTCGTAGGTGTGTTGTTCGAATCCAGTTGTCTTGTGGATTATTGGTTACGCGTGGCCTGCCACTCCGAGGATGGTCTCTGACTGCATTCGTCTGTTGCCAACACTGTTCTGTGGACGTTAAATTGTCTTGTAACATCACGTTGACTCGATCCTGCTTCAAGCATACCAATGGCTCGCAGACGCTCATTT